ACCCCACACAGAGCAAGGTCTTCCCACTCTTGACCAAAACAAAATTGACATGGAATCAAACCCTCCCCATCCAACAACCCACACACCCACACGCACGCACACAAATACCCTCCCACAGGAAATTAACAGTGCCCAAAAAGCAAAATGCCGCTCGCCAAGTCCAGCTCTTCCAGGGGAATGCCAGTTTAATTCACAGCAGTCAAAACAGGTGTTAATTTAGTACCTGTGAAACTTGTTGCAGAGTTGCCCGTATCAAACCAGAATTGCATTTTTGGGTTGTTGTGGGTGGCGACCCATGGTTTCTGGCAGTCACTCCCCAGTCCATGCAGCAGTTCAGCTGCAACATCACTAAACTAATTAAAACGTTTATAAACTGGTTGACAGGTGAACAGCCAAAAATGCTGTGTTTGAAGTAGTTAACTGGAGGCGGGGCAGGAGGAGAACACATGGAATCCTTTGCCTAATCTTGCTCATTTAACTCACTACACTTTAGATCAGGAAAAGAGGGAAGGGTTTGCCATCAAGACGGCACAACGAAGGACAGGAAAATACGCTTGCTGTGGCTCAGAAGGTGAAATATTCGATAATGTAGCCCTGGAAGAGGAAGAAAAAAGAGGGCGGCCTTATCTGAGATGGCATTCCATGGCTGCTGGAGGAGAGCTAAATGAGGACTGGAGGACTCCAGAGGCCAGCTCTGACCCCGAAGATGCCTCAGCCCCCATGCAAGGCAACTGATGGCGAAGAGCGGGAGTGATTCTGCTTCCCCCGTGCCTGATTGGATGCCTGTAACCCTCTGGTTTTGGAGGGTCACAGGGGCCCACAATGGATCGCCAGCCGCTCTCAAATTTGGGTCCCCGCTGCTCAACTCCCAGCATGCCCAGGGTTAACTAGCTATAGCCCCATGCTTCCCCCATTCATACATCCATGTATGATTCTTCCAGTGGCTCCAGAGTTCAAGTTTGCCCGGCCTGGGATGGTAGCGAGGGCCCGGGGGTGCTCCCCAGGAGACGGCTTGGCCTTCCGTCTTCATCTTCCATCTGCAGCTTGGTCCTCCTGCCTTTGAGCAAGCCTCGTTTTGAGGACTCAGTGCATCCTGCGCTACCGAGAGGTTCCTTCCCCGTCACGTTTTATCCTTCAGCGCAGCTCATGCGGTCCAGGCTTCTCAAGATCAGCCTGGCGCTTGTTGGAGGACAGAGATGGCAAGCGAAAAGCGGCAGCAGTGAAACTCCCTGAGCACACTGTCCAGGCGGTCATTCCTGCTGCTACTACTGGAACGCCTCCTAAGTAATAGGGAGGAGGCACATCCACATGTCTGGGGGTGATGGGAGTCATAATCCAACACTGGCAAACCCCTAGTTGGGAAACGCTGCATTAAGCATCATTTTTTACATTTATTTCAATGGGGAGGGTTTAAATTGGCCGTTAACTCTCACATTGCAGAACGTTGCATTGACTTGGTGCTGCCTGAAGTATTCTGGCAGACACCCCTGCAAATGAATAACGCCCCTATACGGAAGTCTGTGATAAGTTTGTGTTTCATAGTACAGGGTTTTTACCTCCTTGCTATAAAGGAGCAAAAATTGGCAACCTCTTTTTTCCTTCAGGGCAATGGATGCCCTTCCGGCAAACCCCATCCTTTAAGTAAATGTTAGCACTGGGCGAAGCATCAGCATTAAACAACACCACCACCACCACAGCCCAGGCACACCTTTCCCCACAAAGTGCTTTCTAGTATCCGTAACAGGGAACTCATCACTAGTCCCGCACCGACTTATCGCAAGAATGAGTGAGAAACTGCGCTTGGACACCACTGGTTCTTGCAGTTGGTCCTGAAGTCTGAGGAGTGGCATTTCCAGTTACAAAGGCTGTGGCGCCAAGCTTTACTACCCAAGAGGTCTGTGTGTGGATACATGCCTTTCAAGACAAGTAATCCAAGCAGGAAATTCAAAGTGAGCAGAGGAGTTGCAAACGCATTTGAAGCACTTACAGGAAGCGGCTTCCCCCATCAATGGCAGACAAACCAGGGGCAGCTCGGTGCCAAGAAGAACCATTTCACACCAGAGTTTGCTTCTGCCGGCTGCCCATGCAACAAAGTTAGAACAGGCCTTGATATCCCACTGCTGCTCCAAGAAGCTACACAAGATAAAATTACACCCGTGACCTTGAGAAAATGAAATGCTGGCTCTCGGGAAAACACCCACCGCGACGAAAATGCCTCCTGGGTGATGTGTCGAGAGCTGCCGTGTGGCTTTCCGGCCAGCCACCGCGGCAAGGTACACACAGCCGCGCATCACAATGTGCTCAAGTGCTCAGTCAATTCCCCGTCCCGTCCCCACAAACGAGCTTTCATTATTGCATTTCGGAAGAGGACAACAAAAGCAAATGCTCGGCTCTAGCGACACAGGGAGTAAATAGAAGCTGACCGGTGAAAGCTTTGCTACTTACGAGCGTTTCGCTTGGCTGGTCACCCATGTTATTCAGGCTCCCAGGGCCAGGCATGCACAAATGGACCCCAACGCCGAACTCCACTGCAGGAGCATCGGGTTTCCTCCCCACGCTGCTGCTGCCGCCGCCCTCCGCTTGAGGTCGAAAGCACCTCACACTCGCTCGGACATTCTCGCGCGCGCACAGACACACCCACATATAAAACTAAAAAAAGTCACTACGCACAATGTATAAAACGTATGAGCGTGCTAAAAACGCACATAAACCCGCTTTTATTTTTCATACTTCAGAAACGCTGGCCGTGCATCTCGGGCCACGGCTGCCCGGGCGAGCCAGAAGCAGTGCTGCGCAACGGAGCGCTCCCGCCCATCCGGCTTGCTCAGGACAACCTGGAGGGGGGGTGGCGGAGAAAATCCGCTCCCCCCCTCCATGGTCACAGGGCCATTTCTGCAACTGCGCAAGGAGAGAGATTTCTGTGGACCTGAACCTCACGGCAGCCTCCCAGCCGCTTCGCTGCAGCCACCAGACACAAATGGCATAAAAATGCGTTCTTCCTCCCATGGTTGCTTGTTCCATGCGGGGCCCCTTTCACAAGCCTGCTTTTCACACAGGTCTCCCTGTGGGGCAATGTCAAACTGCGGGATCCTACCCGGTGTCGGGCAAAGGACCATGTCTGCCGCATCCCCCCGAAAGAGGATCCCCGAGCAGCGATTCCCCAATGTGCTTGCACATTAGCTGGGCTGCCACACGGTGAAACCGTCTCCGGTGGGTTCAGGATTGCAAGTGATCCCCACCTAACAGCTGAACCTACAGAGCTGCCGCACGGCGAGGGGACCACCGGTCGATGTGGTTCGTTAGAAAGTCTGTCTGGCGGGAGGGAGGGAGGGAGGTCTCCAGGGTCTCAGACATGGTCCCACCTGGAGTCGCCAAGGACTGGAGCCAGCGAAGCACGGACCGCACTGCCAAGATGCAGCTGCGGCTCTTCAGCTAGACACAACGGATAATCACACCTCAGTGCAAAGTCCCCAACGGTGCCATTCCATCCACTCAGGACAGCCCTCGCAGAACTCTTGCCAAACGGCAGAATGCATCGGGCGCAACCCCACTCCAGCCTGCACTGGATTCTGCTCTCGTGCACCGTTCGGAATCTCAGCTCCACCGCTTCCAGGAGCACAGCATCACCACCGCAGGCGGAACGCCAGCGTGGATCCTGCCCTTTGTGCGAAAGCCTGCAAAGGTGGTGCCCTCCACTTATGGGTCCTATGGGGGGAGAATGAAAAGGGGCAAGGAAAGGTCAACTGGAATGGAAGGCTCCCAGGCAAGCCAGGGATGGAACCAGCCCGGCTGAACGAGCCACGCCTGGCCGTCGCCACCAGCGGTCCCCTCCTGTCCCTCTAGGCCTTCCGCCTTTCATAAGGAAGCAGGAACACAGGCGTGTCAGGCAGGCAAGTGACAAACCTCCTCCAACTACACCTGGCTGCAGTCTCCACAGCTGGGGAACGGGTTGAGGGTGGCTGAGTTCCACTCAGAAGTATCGACAAGCCCTCTCCAGTATTCTCCTGGGGCAGGGGTGGGGGGGAGCTCACACTCCAAGGAACGACACTCGATTTGGAATACGTCAGAACACGACTAGCTGCACGAACCCCTATCCCGAAGTGGGTCATGCTGAACTTCAGCAACGCTGCCCACATCAACGTTGTCCGTGTCAGGTCCGAAGGCAGAGGCGGGCAGAGAAAAACAGAAGTTGCCTTAACTCCGATCCCAAGTTGTGATGCAACAGCAGCTTATCCAATGCTGTGCTACCCAAAACCTATACAATTCTTCACACGGCCTACTATTACAATGCTAACGTAAGACTTCCATGGACCCCCTAGCAGAAAGTAAACAACTTAAGCTACTTGAAATGAAAACCAGGATTAAAATGAAAAGGGGCCCAGTCCCGAGGCTCCTGGTGCCCCCACCCCACCTTTCAAGCGAGTCCTTCCCACAGCCCCTCTTCCTCAAAACCAAACGTCTCGAAACAGCACGTGTGTGAGAGGCGCATTTCTTGTCACGGGCCACAGCACTTAACAGCTGCAGTGAACGGCTTGTGGTTTCACCACCCAGCAAACAGGTCGCTGCCGGCAAAGTGTGACACCGGCGTCTTCCTACCCATCCCTGGGGGAAAGCTCAACTCTTCAACAAGCCCGTGACTCCTGCAACCCCTCTTTCCAGGCGGTGGCGGAAGCAGTGGGACAATCGGGCACCATGCCCCCACACGGGTGGGTCACTCTCTTTCTTTGGCCCGTGTTTCTATCTGCTGGGGTTGTCTGTCTTCTGGAGAAATACCCAAGGAGCACCCCAGTTTCTGCTTGAAGAGTAAGCACCTGGGAGCTCAGAACCCGCCTGTCCGGCATCCGATTTCCCCGATCACAGCACCCCAGCATCCAAGTCACTTCTCCATCTGTGCATCCCGTGAGTTTCCTTTCCATGATTTATACGGGGGCCCAGACCACAAAAGCACCAGCCACGCTCCTCTTCCCATTTAAAACCATTTTTTAAAAAGAGAGAAAAAGAACATCTTCTGCTCTTTTTCCATAGCCAGTAGAAAAAGTGCAGCTTTCATAATCCTTTTTTTCAAGAGGGTGACACAGCCAGAATGGAAATGCCAGCAACAGCCGATAGGCACAATTCTAAACTAGAACATAAAAGTAGTGTCCAAAATCAATTAGTGGAGCTTATTTCTGAGTTCGATCCATGGATTCGTGTCCGTCCATACCTCTGCTGTGCAAAGAGTTGTGCAAAATTTATTTCTGACCGGCAGTAAGGGTTTTTTTTTTCTCCTTTCATTATTTTCCTTTATACAATGGTATTGAGAGAACAGCGACTGTGGCGGGGGGCTGAAAGGGTCTCTGCCGGCGTGCTTTCGCTTAAGGGTGTACCGGGAGGCACCAGGAGGGTGCTGCTGTCTGCAGAGTCTGCCAGTTCCACTGGGGAAGGGCCAACCGAAGGAGGAAGGGACTCCTCTGTGAGTGGCGGAGACACGTCCCCGTTCCCTAGCGAGAGCTGATTGTTCTGCCCCGTCTGCGAATGCATGCCATCTAGAAAGGAAAAGGCGAGGGAGAATTAAAAGCTAGAAACATCCCCACAAATCACGTGGGCTTCTGGGGAGTGCAGAGTGCTTCACCCCGAGGTTGCTTTTGCAGCGCGGCATGTCCTGAGTAAGGCAGGAGTCTTGTGACCTGTTTGAGACACATGGGCTGAGAAAAGAAAAGGGAATGATCAGCATAAAGCAGCCGCACTTGCTCTGCCTGGGATCTCGCAGTGGGGCAGTTGGGGTACAAATGCCCCTGATTCCCACCAGGCTCCCTGCCCCTTCCCGATGTCTATTTCACTTATTTTATTTTTAAACTTGCCCTGCTGCACACAGAAATGCTGCTCCCCAGCACTGCCCTCGCTTGGCCTCAAAAGGGTGGGTTTGTGTTCTGCAGCCCAGAGGCAAGTACTACTTCGGCTCCTGGGCAGGTTACTTCTCATTCAGTCTGACCCATTGGCCGCCTGGGAAATGAGCAGCTCAGCCAGTCAGTTTATTTTATGAATGCGCTTCCCGACCTGCACATGCCAGCCATTTTGAGAAAGCACCCACAACACCCTCTAATGCGGCCAATGATCCAATGGAAAGGGACCCTTGGACTACATGGCACATTAAAGCAACTTGACTGGGGGGAGGTCGTCTGGTGTGCCAGTTCACCCGGTAACCAGCCAGACATCTGTGGCTCACACGCTGGCCCTGAAAGCCATCAGGGTGCCTCCTACAACTCTCACGGACACGCTTTCTTCCTCCAAGCCTGGCAGGCATGAATTCAGGTCTAGCCAAGGAACAAAGGACACTCCTTCACATCCAAGTCGGACCAAGGGTTGATCTGCCTCAGGACTGTTTTCAAAGAGGGTGAGGGGCCTGTACACGTCCAGAAGTTATTCAATTCCCATTCCCATCAGCCCAGCCAGCACAGGATGATGGAAGTCGTATGGGACTGGAGGGCCGTACCCTGGAGTTACTGGAAAGCAAACTGGGAAATTCCAGCAAGGCACTGAGTTAGCCTCCCTGTTTGGAATATGAACTCCACCCAGTGGAAGCTACTGCTCTTGTAAAGAATTTACTGCTGCGAAATGGGCTATACCAGCCAACTCTTGGAAAAACAGCACTGTACGGGGCAACACTGTAAGATGGAGAACCTCCTAGTGATTCACCTGGAGGAGAACAGAGGATACTGTCCGGATTGATCGAAGCCTCGTAAGGTGGCGGTGGGTCATCTGGATGCTGAATATCTGGGTATTTGTAAGCCGTGTAGGGTGGAGGAGGGTCGTGGAAGTGGAACGCTCCGCCTTCCCCATCATCCGAAAGATGCAGTGGAGTAAGCCCAGTTCCAAAACCATCTGGGCCATAGTCAAAACCAGGCATCCTTCGGCCCAAGTTAAAGTGATGCACTACAGGAGGAAAAGACACGTGCCAAAAGAAAAAGGCTGGATTACACCATCGCCTTCCCTGCTGAGAAGGGAATTCATTCTGCAAGACGCCCACCTAGGGCAGAGACAACAAGCTACTGTATTTTCCATGAAGCAGGTAGGGAAGCCTCAGGTCTACACAGGTGACCAGAGCATCCAGGCATCGCCATCAGGCCATGGAAGGCTCCACCTAAGATGCTTCCCAACCTCTTCCCTGGACCCTTTCCTCCCCACCAGAAGCATCAACGTCTTATTCTTGCCCACAGTGGACTTCACAGTTTTGACGATGGCAATGAAAAAGCCCACCTGGATAGTTCACCCCCAAGCGGGATCTGACGCTTCGCAATCAATGAACTGGATCACCCACTCCATGCAGGGCAGCCTGGATGGGGACCCTCCAGCTGCCCAGGTGTGGCCCCAAGCTACCAAGCCAAGCCGCTTACGGTTTGCTCCGATCAGGGACTCGATGCGCTCCCTGCGCCTCTGCCGCAGCCGATGGACCATGAAAAGCAGCAAAGACAAGATGAGGAAAGATGAGATGCAGCTCACGATGAGCCGCATGCCGCTCGCCATGGAGTCAAACAAGCTGTTGCCATCTGCAAGAGGAAACCAAGGGGTGTCAAGTCGATCTGGGAATAAAACCCCCAGGGCTTCCCTCTTCTAAGCCATGTGGGAGGAAAAGACCCACAACAAGCCGTCCCGAGGCTTATGCGACTGGGACGGCATATGAAAACGCTAAATAAACAAACAAGGTGACGTGACATTCTCTGGACCAAGCCTTGGTAGGGTACAGCCAAGATCTTAGTGTTAAGGTGGGCACATAGAGAGCAGGAGATCCTTCAGAAAAGGTCAAGGAGGAAACCAGCATCCAGGCTGAAATCTCCAACTTTCACTGTGACACTTGCAGCCTTAGGCTGCTGTGAAGTTAAAACGAGCAAGGGGGAAGCTGGGCAGTATTATGAATGACAGGACCTTCCATCAAATCAGAAATGAATGCGACTGAGCTCGCTAAAGGCTATAGCAAGGACAAAAATAGTGGGGAGGGGAGGGGAAAGGCCAGAAGTAGAAAATCTGCATACCAAAAAAAAAGGAAGAAGAATGCAATCCAAGCAAAGGAAAATATTGGTGACCTAAAGCACCTCTGGAAATGGCTTACTCCATGTATCTATCAATGACATTTCTTTGCTAGAGAATTAGACCAGAGAAAAAGGGAAAGCTGTCAGGCTCCAACAGAACACCAAGACTAGATTTCATGGGGTTGGGCAGTGCTTGCCTTTTGGGTTAAAGAGGAAATTTTAAAAACTTAAACAGTATCAAACCGGCATAGACCTGCAAAAGGAATGGGAGACACACACTGCCCCAAAGAAGCATCTTCATGACAACGAAACAAGGCATGTGGCAAGCGGGGAAAGAGGCACCATGTTCGGGTCATGCACTGTCCATGCAAGCCCAAGAACAGGCATTCATGTCTCAGAACGGAGGCCCAGAAGGAATCGTGTCTACATCCCAAATCCCGGGAAGCGAATGCAAAGCACCCGGCCATTGCAAAGGGTAATGTTGTACCCTTAAGCCGTAAGCCAATCTATGCCTCCGCTTTAGAACACAGAATATTTGTTTAGCTATTTATCCACTGTCTTTCAAGCAAGCCTTTGGTACGTAAGCTGGTCTGGCACAGAAATGCTTTGAGGTGGGTTGGGGATTGTTTCTTTCTTTGATTACTGTGATTTCAGTGTGTTTGTTTTGTGTTATGCTTCCTACATTCTCTGTTCTGATTTTAATTCATTTTTTAATTCAGTTTTGTTTTAAGCTTGGGTTTAAGACTGACAGCTGCCTTAAGCACCATTTTGGTGGGAAAACGTTACCTGAAAAGAAAGCAAGAGCTCTGGCTTCCAGATACGCTCAAAATTGCTCACAATAACCAGAAGAGTTGGGCTACGCCAAGAGCTTGTGAATGGCTACAGGTCACCCACTGGTCATCATGGCTGAGTCCCAGTTTCCCAATGAAATGACAGGATCTCTCTCAGTTTACGTTATGCAGCTTAACAGTCCAGGGAAACTGAACCTCTTGATCTCAGGCTAGAATAGAGGAAGTTCCCTTATTCTACCCAGCTTGATTCCTCAAAATAAGAATCCACACAGGAAAATAAAAATCTGGAAAGGTCCCCAGAAGCTTCATGAAGTCACAAGCCAGCCTCACATTTCTGACCACCAACAGGAGACTGGCTAGAATTCCACAAGGGTTAAGCATAATGACTTGTTTCTCCACACCAGAACAAACAACAGAAGCCCTTTGAGAGCGATGCCCGTAACTCCTGATCTTGGCTGTGCTGGCAGGAGCTACTGGCTGGGCCAAAACTTCTGGAGTGCAACAGCCCACCTAGCTCAACTTTAAACAACTGGAAGAGAGCCAATTCCAAGAATCCAAATATATCCACAAGCTGCTCCGTTTTCCAGGCAACCCAGCAAGACCACCCAGATCTTTAATTTAAACACAGGCTAACCTAAGTGCAGTTGGCAGTCAGCATCTCTCCCTTTTCACACCAGTAAGGCAAATGAATGCCCCTGCTAGCCAGCTAGAGAGAAGACCAAAGGAGGAAATGACTGCCTTGCTTTGCAGGTAAAAGATTTCTAGAAGCCAAGTCAGAATAAATTTGCGAGGACAGGAGCAGCAAAACCAACAGCACCACCTCCTGGTTATTTTGTAAAGATGGCATCACACCAAACAGAGAAAGAGGCAATGGCCTGAAGAACCCGCAACTCCCTCTGCACCCCATGTGGTGGGTCAATAGTTCTGGGGACCCCCCCAAAGAAGATGTGCAAGATACAGGTTTGCTCACAAGAAGGGTCCCCAGAAACATATTGATCTATTGACTCCAGGCATTCCGTTACAGCAACGATCCATCTGCAGAGCTGATGAGCAGTCACTGATTCTTAGCTTAAGCTACTCACAGGGACCCAAACATAATTTCTGCAAGCTAAGGTGGAAACAAGCTGATGCGAGCATAAGGTTGCAGAGAAAGCAATGTGGAACAGTGGTTAGCGTGCTGGACTGGGACTTGGGAGGTGCAAGTGCCGGTCCCCATTCGGTCATGGAACTCACCGGGTGACTCTGGACGAGTCCCCTGCAGCCTAAGCCATCTCAAGCTGCCTGGGAATCCTTTCAGGAAAAAGCAGGAAATAAATCTAATGGATAAACCCAAGGCACTACCAGTCACTGGTGAGAAACAGAATTTCCTATGAAATTAATGGGGGGCAGGAGGGGGAGAGAAACCGCTCACACCATCGAGATGCAGATCTGTGCGTTAAACCAGTTACCAGGATCTATACAGGTGAACTTGCAGCACTCCTTGGGGTCCTTCTGGAAGTGCTGGCAGCCCTGGGGCCGCTCGCACAGGGCTGCCACACACATCTCTGGCTCGCCATTGTGACACGTGCAGCTTAAGCAGGGGTCATCTCCTTTGGGGGTGAAATAGTAGCCTTCGTCAACAATATTGTCTTTAATATCCACACAGGTTTGGCCTGAAACAGAAGGAGAAGCAAAATAGAATATAAATGGCTGGACGGTTGGCTGCAAGCAGCTTGTGGATGAGAGAGCTTTTTGAAAGCTGGGCTGTGATTTCTTTGGGAAAAGACGTGCCCCAAGCGAGCAGCCGTTTTTGCGCAGGGTGGGTGATGCTGAGCAGCAAGCTCGGCACTCTCGACAGCAGCTTTCGTGAACCAGGGAAGAGATCTCTGGGGTGGGGAAGGGAAGCCCTTTCCCCACTGGCCTCTTAAGCAGAAGGAACACTTTTGTGTTATTTAATTAACCCCCAGTTTCTACCTCCCAACAGCCAAAACTCAGTAAGATTAGAACCCCAAATGTAACATGATTAAACCTCTAAAAGATCAAAACGGAACAGAAAAACTAAGAGTGAAAACAAGTGCAGGAAAGGAATTCAAAACGCAAGCCACATTTGAAAACCCAAATGGAAGAACTGAGAGTGAAATGCAAAGGTCTCTGCCTGGCACTGAAAAGAGCACAATCTTGGCGCCAGGGCAAGCCTTTTCTGAGGAGGGTGATTGGTGCCACCACCAAAAAGGCCTCTCTGTAGTAACCACCTGCCTCAGCTTATTTGGTGGGAACATCCAGAGGAAAGCCCCTGAAGATTTGTGTTTAGATCCAGGCAGTACACAGAATTTTCCGGAACTGCGGCATAATATTATGCGAGAACAGAGCCACTGGATGGGTTCCCCATATTCCCCGCATACAATGCAATCGCGCTTGCTTTAGATACAATACAGATATGTAATATCGCCTTTTCTAGGCTCACAGAACAGTCGAGTTGGAAGGGGCCTATAAGGTCATAAGTCCCACTCCCTGCTCGGTGCAAACACTTTCGACGGCCGTCCATCTGCACCCAACTCTGTCCCTACATGCTTCGAGGGCCTATGTGCAGGACTGCAACCCCTTAGAATGCAAACCAGAACAGGCGACTCACTTCTTTTGCAAAGGAACGAAGATTTCTCATAGCAGTTTTCAGCATACCAGCTGTGAAAACCACGGTGTCGAAGGGCCGGGTAGTGGGAGCACTGAAACTGTGCACAAAGGATGTTTCCATTTTCGGATACGGATGTACTAAATGTAGGGTTGGGGGGCAGGAAGACTTCTGACGAGCCTGAAACGAGAGAACATTTTGCAGAATGTGTTTTGTGCACACACTGGCTTTCCAGATAAAATGTACATGTGAGTTATGTTCGCACTGGGAAACGAAAAGTGGAAGCTTTCGATATGACGCACAAGCTAGGAACTCTGGGTGCCAGGCAGAACCTACCTTGTTGGTTTTACATCCGTGGGGAATCTTCTTTCCGCAGAGCCGCTCTTCACTTGGGGGTGACCTGCGGGGGGGGGGGGGCCTCTGGGGGGGGGGGGCACACAGCCAAAAGAAAACAGCAGCACCTTTTCTTTCTTCTGCCACTGCATTTTCTGTCTCCCCTCGCTCTTCCCCACCACCCCGCCTCTTCTTCATGCTTCTCTCCCAGGAGGTTGCTGGGGGAAGAACTGGGAACGCTGGCCAGAGCCCTGAAATGACCACTTGCAGAAAGCTGTTTAAATTAGGCCAAGCGCCACATGCAGCTCTGGGGGCTGCACACCCCCGTTTTATAGATACTAAAATGCTGGCTAATTTCAGGCTATTCAACTTCAACACATTGATTTGGAGTTCCTGTTTTGAACAAAATGCCAGGATACAAAATAAGTACCGTATTTTTCTGTGTATAAGACGATACTTTTTCTTTAAAATGTTTACCTAAAAATGGAGGGGCATCTTATACATGGGGGGCTGAGAAGAGAACCACGGGTGCACTGGGGGGAGTGGCACGATCGTGGGCGTGATCGGGGGGAGACTGGCACGGACAGGGAGGCAGCGCGCGCACAGCAGCAGCTTGATCGCTAGGAGATCGGTAAGAAAAGCGGCGGGGCCTCCTACACATGGGGGTGTCTTATAGTCGGAAAAATATGGTAACATATTTTATGGTTAGAGTTTTACAAAATCAGGCACCTATACCCTGAGCTCTTGATCTTTTTGTTTTAACTGCTATTGGGAGGAGAGGTGTTATAAACTGCATTTCTTTCCAAAGCAGGCTTTATCAATTGTAAAAAAAAAAAAAAAGAATATTTAAGAAGTCAATAAGAGGCTAACTTGAAATGCTATGCAAACTTGAAGACATACTTAACGTCTAAAAATCTGGTGCTCTTGTCCAAAAGAGAGTCGGGGAAGATCCATTTGGAAACCTTCCTATTGATTTCTTGAGGCCACATCTTACAAATTAGCATCTTCTTTCAAATGAAAAAGATCTATAAGCCGTTCCACCAAAAGGTGGCACTGCAGTCGTGAGTGAGACGAGTGCACATCTGAGGATGTGTGAAAATGTTGTTTTCAAATCAAATCATGCAAGTATGTCCCATTCACAACCCTGACTGGGATGAGTAAAAGAGCTTGTATTGCAGAAATATTCACAAATTTCTTAAGCTGAATTTGCACTCTACAAATGCACACTTTTAAAACTGCACATTTCCACCCTTCCCTCTGTGGAGGGGGGAACGGTACACATTTCTTTGACCTTTAAAAATGCAGTTTGAACAAAACAATTTAAAAAATATCATTTTTTGTGTGTTTCCTGAACAAACTCAGGAAAGAAGGCAAGTTGAGCCTCAAGGGGGCATCTAGAGAATCTGGACGGGTGTGAAAGTTGCTTGCTTATCCAAACCCTAAATGGAGCAGAATACATGCCAGCCTTGTCCTGGAGCTAAACCAAATCCTGAATACATGATTATATTTTCTATGAGTGTGTTGACATTTGAAGCACCAACAACATATTAACATAACAATCCTTTAGACTGGCTCCCCAGGAACTGAGAGAGCTCAACAGCACTAATAATTTCTTTAAGAGCTACACGAAAGGGCCAGAGGCACAAAGGATATTGTCTAACTTGGGATCAGAAGGCTACAGGTTGGAGCCCACAGGTGCTGGACTGGCAATGCAGCTGCAGCGTGTTCAAGGATTAATCTCCAGGTAGGGCTGGGGAAGTCTCTGCAAGCTACAGTGAGCAAGCTGGACTTATCTTAAACTAGAAAGCTTTTGAAGATGGCCAAGTATGCACAAGCGACAGTTTGTATTATGTTATCACAGGCTTGCGGCTTTATGACATTTCCCTGACAGGTACTGTCTCTTCTTACAGTCCGAGTAAAGCTCTGAACAGCACTGGAATGCTGTTGGACTTCTTAAGGGAGTCCTACTTTCACAGCATCTTGAGATAGAGTCTCTTTTTTCCCTCATCTTTTGCAGCAAAGTAAGATGAGCCAAAAGAGAAGGGGCAGCGGGTGATCAAAAATGCAGAAGTGGGATCAGAGTGGCCAGTGGATGGAAGAAGACAGACACACCGTTTGCGGCTGGAAAAGTTACAAGGCACTGCAGGGAGACGGGAGTAGAGGGAGGCGCACCGAGAGTCGAAGTGTCAAGGTGGCTTGGCTGCGTCGTGCCACACGCTCACCTTGCGAGGAGCGATGGCAGCAATTTTGGCAGCAATGTGTTCCTAGAAACTGCAAACAGCCTTAGAAAGAGGACAGAGAAGGGACGGCGCTTAGGAAGCAAAGTCATACTAGCAGAGCAGGAGAGGGCAAATTTCAGGAGGCCCAAGGATGGGGGGGGGGGGTTGCCCCTCTCTCTGGCAGGCTCCTGTCTTCCAAAAAAAAATTTTTTTTAAAGGCCTCTAAAGGACTATGGAATGCAGCACACTTTTAAAATTCCATAGCAGCTACAGAGCCCCCCAAAGCCCCCTTTTAGCACTCCATTATGCTTCATTACCATTTTATTCTATTTTTTTTTTAAATGATTAAAAACTTCAGGGGAGAAGTAAGGGGCATGGTTAAAAGTAGAGGTTCATAGCTAAAATTAGAACAAAACTGGTCATTTGGAAATGCAGGTATGTCCCGTGATACAGAATTATTAGGAATAAATGTGACATCTAATCATTAAAGTTATGTCTTGGTTACAGCCTTTGGCCTCTACAGTGTTATGGAAAAATGCAGTATTTGTTGCCAGAAGATAAGATTAACATAAACAAGGATGAAAGCAAGAACAACACCAGATGGGAGGACAGAACAGGAAGGCAGGTTTGTGTGCGGCAGCTCAGCAAAGAGTCAGGATTATCACATCACAACCTGCTGGTTTGGAAAAGGCCTTCCAGATATTATTAAATCCTTATCAGGCATCCACTGTTTGCATTCCAAGAGAGCCTTCAGAAACCCACGTTTTTAACCAGCTTCAGTTTCTAGTTACAAGGCCAGGAGATGTTCGCTTCTTACCTTTGTAAGCAACCTCCCAGTGACCTTCTAGAGAATTATTTCGGTTGGTGATTACGTACTGATATCCAACCCAGAACCTGCAAGTGGGAAAATTTGAGAGAAAGAGCTCCTGTTAAACTCCAGAAGCACATTATGTTAAAAAGAAATGCTAATACTTAGAAGTGAGTTGAAAACGCTCAATGAATGATGCCTTAATTGGTACTCTTGTCATAAAGCATCTGTTTATACATGAAACCTTAATTTAAAAAAGAAAAAGGTCCTTATTTTCCAATATACATGATGAAAACCAATTATCATTAACATAAACAATTGTGGCTACGCAAAGAAACACAAGCCCCATCCAAATATTGCTGTGAAATGCTTACAACCATAATTTAATCTCAAGAGAAGGGTATGAACACGCAGTGAGCAGGCAATCCATGGAATATAATTTAATGGGTGGTAGGCTGGAGCATTACCTTGGAAATTTGCCCACCATCAGCCTGTGGGCCTTAACACACACACACACACGCACACAGAAGGTGGAGTTACTTCATCAAGAATACAAAGCAAGAGGATCCCAGAGGCTGCACATCAAATCACAGCCATGCAACACTTGTGAACCTTCCTGGAGTGACTCCAAGCCTGCTGAAATGAATGGTTCGGATGTCGCCTGCACAAGCATGTAGGACCAGAGAGGTCACGGGGCAACAGGCAGCAAACCTCTCCAACACTGTTCAGTCCAAAGATACTGACATGACAGAAGAAAGCACTGCCAAAGCCGAAGGTAGAAGCCTAGTGTTGGTGAAAATAGGACGTCTAGAAAGTATTAGCAGTAACCCGACTAAGTGCTAGTCCACAAGCCACCTGCTGTTCCCTTTGCAGCCAACAAACAACACACTGATACAAAGCAAGGCACAGCTTCATTCCAGGGTGGAGTTCGGACCCTCTGCCCCCTCACCTGCGCTGGTCCTTCTTCCCAAAGACCTTCTCTTCGGAGTCCCACTCCTGCTGCAAGATAAACTTGAGCTCCTGGTCCGTGGTAAAGGTGGCCAGGGAGCCATTCACCCTCTGGCACGTCTGCACGGCATCCCAGTAGTTCTCGCCGTTTAGGTACACCCGGTAGCAGCTGGCGGTGCCCTCATAGTGATGCCATCCCGACGGGCACTTCCCTAGGAAACATGAAGGAAAGAAGGGAAACAGTTCCCCTCCCAGTTAGTATCGCAACCCGGTTGCAGGACACTGGAGTAGCTTCTGAAAAGGGTCGCAGTCCAGTCCCTGTTAAGATGGAAACCCAAGCTCTGGGGAATCGCATCGTTCTTTGTCCCTCCCAGATGAATTCCCTCCACTGCGAAAAGTAAAAAAGCAGCGCTGCAGCCTACACTGACGTTCTATGTGAAAGGCATTCTTGGACGGAAGAGCCTCCTGCCCCACAGGAGGGACAGCCCAGACATGGGTCTGTGGCTGGTAAGAGCGAGGGATGGGTCAGCGGTTTGCTCCCTTCGTTTGTTCGAGAAGAACTCCATTAAAGCCACCTTTTCCCGCCCATATCTGTGATGGACAGAGACCACAAAGAAGGACCTCGGTTCCAACAGGTAATCTGTGCCATCGGGTGGCAGAAAGGCACCCAACCGAGGAAACAACCAAACACACCTGCCTTGGGGCTCCATTTCTTGCCCGGGTTAACGTCAAGAACGGCCAGGACAGATTCCTGCCAATCAGTGTAGGCAAACCGAACTCAACGGAGAGCAGTTTGCCCTGGAGTAAGACAGCTTCCTACGGTCCCGTGTCTTAGGGGCACTGCTAGGTTATTTCTGCACAAATGAGCTTGCAAAACCCACCGATCTTATTTTTGGCCTTCGCTCTGGCATCTTCTGGGATTAGCTCCTGTAGCCAATGACCGACTCAGAGATTATTATACAATGCACTTTCTTTGGCTTAACAATGACTCATCTGTACACCTGAACCCCCTCCCCCTTGTCAACTAGCTAATGATGGTTTGCTTGTAACCAACAAACTACAACCTGAAATGATGGCTCCCAAGTCCGCAACTTACTACTAAACCGAACCGGCTGGGCCACGTTGACTGTGTGAAAGCGGGTCGTGTCCCCTCCTCTTCCACGGTTATGTCTGGAATCTACATTCTCCTTCACGTGGTACATTCGCTGGTCACCTGTAAAATCTAGAACAAAGAAGAGACGGGCTCAGTGCAGGAACAAAGTGGACACGTGCAAAAGATGAGCTTCCGAAATGCACCATTTTCATTATTTTGAACGATCAAAAATGGCGGGGGAAAAGGAGAAGGAAGCATTAGCACTGATGCTTTGCATCAGCACTCCCATCGACCTGCTCCCCTGAGATATTCCGAACTACTGCTCTCATTGGGCCCAACTGGCATGGCCAGTGATTGGGGATGATGAGCACTGTAGTTCCAAACATCTGGAGGGCAGGGAAGCACCTGCACAACAGGATTTCTAGATACTAAGGTCAGTGCCTGGGCCAAAAATGTCTTCCTTTAAAAGGTCCCATTGCATAGTGGGGATTTTCTCCAACCCTAGGCAGTAAAATGCATGATGCAGACAAAAAAAGATCGGGGGAATGGCAGAAAGACCCCGAACAGGGGACAGCCGGAAGAATTTAGAATGACCTATTGTCAGAAACGCTATGGAGACTCATTAATTTTGCTTAGACATGAAAAATATCATATAAACAGAAGGTGTGCCCAGAAACGGACTGGATGCAGTCAGCATTTCCCCTGATTCTTCTAGGTCAGTATCTCACAGCTGTGATGAGATCTTGACCTTAAGACTAGCTCCATACTCTGCTTGCTGATTTATCCTTAAATTTACTTTGCTGTTGTATATGTCTCATACTGTGTATTATTCTAATTACAAAAACAAGTTAAGGATTTTTTTCTCTCTCCAGTTTTTGTGGAAAATTAATACCAATACAATACCTTCTGCTCAAATTTGTGGGACTTGGAATATTTTCCACAGAGTAGTTAAAAAGAAGTCTTAACCTGCCAAGTAACTTAAGACTGAACTATATACAGAGACATTAGATTTGTGGGTACTGGAAACAGGGCCTTCTCGGTACTAGCACCCAAATTCTGCAATTCCCTCCCAAGAGAAGTAAGATTGGCTCCCCCCACTCCTTGCCTTTTTCCCCTTTTGCCTTAGAGAGGCAACAAATCGGTTTCATGGGCCTTTTACCTATGTCTTGTTGTTCTTTGATTTTAATAATATGTTGTCTTGGTAAGTCGCAATATTTTTTTATTGCACATCACACCGTGGGCCTGGAAGGTGGAGACATGATCTATAAAATTATTAAATAAATAAAAAGTTGATGAGGTCTGCTACTTTCACAGATGGCTGGCTGCCATTTCCAACCCAACTCTGCCAAGCTTCGGCGCTGTGCACGCAATGCACCAGATGGATGTTGCAACGGAAAAGCACAGCCAGACCTGCTTGCCAGCAAACCAAATTAAGGAGACGTCTGAAGCTGCAGACCACAGCCTACTGTCAAATAATCATCAGAAACCATGACTGGAAGAAAGTTTCACACACCGTGGGTTGCGCTACCCATTGTTCAGTGTGATGTCGCAATTCCAAGGAAGGCACAGCCTTAAGTTTACAAAAGAACTGAGCAGGGCTGTCTAGGATGGGGTGTTTTACAAGACATTCACTCACAGGGTCCCCAGAAGTCAACTTCTCAGCAAATAACCTCAAGACCACCAATTCACAACCCCCAGTTCACTTACACCAAGGCCTTTGTCTGTAATACAAGCTGTTGCGCCACTAGAAAGAGCGGGGATCAGAACAAGGTGCTACTTTGAAATTATATGTCAAAGTGTGTGTGCAGGGGCAGGGAGACACAGGAAAGACACAGAGGAGCGCAGAACAAACAGAACACTAGGCTGCATGGTGCTTCCTTTTCCAAAGCCGCAGTTTACAGTGGCTTGCCCTTGTGGAAACCGAGGTTTGAGCTAGTGCAAAGAGGCATCACCCATATTCTTAGGACTGCCCTTGACCTCGTCTCCACCCAGCCTTCCCCACGTGTCACTCGAGCAGAACAAGCTGCTGACCAGAAGCTGGCATGCGGTGTCTCTTCTGATGCCATGATGCTCCGTTCAACCCATGTCCTGTCTCTCTCATGCTGGACGGCTGTAATGAAGGCCATATTCACAAGGGTACTCGCTTTCTTGCTCAACAGAAGATCTGTTCCATCCTGTTCCCAAGCTCTAGCCATAGGGTTTTCTCTGCTCCACCCAAAGAATGACTGTACGCGCCAAATATGCAAAACAGGACATGCGCTCACAGAAAACATGAACTTTAGAGCAAGTTCTGCTGTGCAGTGATATGGTTACACGGCGCATCAGCACCATGCCATGTGCCATCGTGGAATTCAAGGCAGGGTGCACAGGAACTTGTGGGCAGCTCCCACCTCCAGGTGTGTCAGGCCCGGCCTGCTTGTCTTCAGGCGAGGCAACTCCCATCACCTGTGCACCACCCCTGGGTGACACAATCCATTCCATTTCATTCATTGTATTTGTATACCACGCTCTAGCCAAACTCCTCCGGGTGGTTTACAGAAGTAAAAAAACCTTTAAAATACGACAATATAAAGGCTGTTGATGTACAAAATCAACAGTCAGCAGACACATAAACATACACACTCACAATTTTAAACGATCAACAGATGTCACTGTGGCCTAGTGGTTGGAGAGCTGCACTGGGACTCAGGAGATCTGGGTTCTAGCCCCCCACTCAGCCATGAGGTTCCCTGGGGGACTCTGAGCCAGTCATGGATTCTCAGCCTAACCTACCTCACAGGGCTGTTGTGAGAATAGAAGGGAGAAAAAGAGGAGGATCATGCAGGCCAACTTGGGTTCCTTGCAGCAAAGAAAGTGTAATGTAAACATAATACGTTAAAAAAGAACTTGTTTAAATTTGTATGATGTGCTGCCAGATGTCAGAGTAGGAGGCAGTCTTAACACTGCACTGAAAAATACTTCAGTTGGTGCAGAATAGAGCTGCCAGGTTGCTGATGGGGACTGGGTGTTGTTCTCATATAACCCCAGTTCTCCGTCAGCTCCACTGGCTCCCGATTGAAGTCCGGGCCCAATTCAAGGTGTTGGTTATGACCTATAAAGCCCTAAACGGCTTGGGACCTGGATATCTAAAGGAACGCTTGCATCCATATATGCCCTCCCGCCCCTTGAGATAAGCAGCAGATGCCCTTCTCTGGGAACCCTCTCTGAATATTAGGAGGGTGAGTACCCGGAGGAGGGCTTTCTCTGTGGTGGCGCCCCACCTATAGAATGCGCTCCCCAGAGAGGTCCGCCTGGCACTGTCGTTATTTGTTTTTCGGAGCCAGGCTAAGACCTTTTTATTTAAAACTTATTTTAATTGTTAAATTATTTGTATTTATAGGATTTTAAATTTTTAGCCAAGATGCACCGGAGGTTTTTAAATAAATTTTTTATTGTTTTATTGTTATTTATGTATTCTGTTTCTGCTGTGAGCCGCCCCAAGGCTTCGTTGTGATGGGGGCAGAATAAAAATGTTTTAAATAAATAAAAACAGTAACACTGTGGGGCACTCCAGAGAAGATCCTTGCCCTTATTCTCACCTTCTGAGCCCTTCTCAGAGGAAAGGGGTCTTTGATAAGGAGCATATTGCACAGGTAATCTAGCAGAAAGCAGGGTACCTTTACATGCTTCGTCAGTTAAACAACCACTTCAAATCAGCCTTCCCCAGTTGTGTTCCTTCAAGATGTTTAGTTGCTAATTATACTTACATCTCACCTTTCTCCCGCTGTGGAACTCAAAGTGGCCACATGCGGTTCCCAAGTGGTCTCCCCTCCAAGCTCAGGCCAGCCCCAGACCTGCTTAGCTTCAACAGGGTGGACGCCTGGTGTGCCTCCAGACCATGCTATGCTATGGAGCTCAGCTCCCCTCAGTCCCAGCAAACAAGGCCAATGGTCAGAGATTATGGGAATTGGAGCACAAAATATCTGGAAGGCCACAAGTCCATCTTCCATGGACTAAAAACGCCCTGGATTTAATCATATATAGGCAAGCACTTTCAAAAGAATGTGGGCATTGTCTCAAAGGATGAATGCTTCTTGCTTAAAAAAATGATTCTACCTTATGCAAAACAAATGTTTAATCAACAGATTAATCGCTTAGTCAACTAAGCCGCATTTAATCACATCCGGTGACATCCCATGCAGAAATACATCCATTGCCATACAGAACTAAAAGACTAGAGACCAATCCTTTCTTCCACTGGAAAAAAATATCCAAAGAAAGACAAACAAGAACTTAAGCCTCTAACCAAGATAAATTGGAAGCATTCAGAAGTCGAATGGTTACCCCACTCTGTGCTGAATGGACTGCTTACACATATGAGTTGCAAAACTGCTGTTCCCTGACTAAGAGGAAGAAGATCACGCTTGCTTCTCCGAGCTCATGGGACAGTCAACAGAAGCCGCAGTTCCTCAGCTCTGATGTGACAGCAAGATAAGTCAACCTCACTCAGCTTCACCACACACATTCACTAAGTGTCAGGCAAGCTTCACTGCCAGCAGTCCCCTCTAGCAGAAAAGGAACCGATAATGAGACTGTGTGAAAAATGCAGAATTGCAAGAGTGGGATCACGCAAGAAGCTCAAGAGTAGCAGGACAGTGCAAAACAACGGGTTTCCCAAAAGAAAAAAAATAGAAGGCAAGAGGTCTCCCAGCCCATAAACTTAAGCAATGGGGGGGGGAGCAATTTTTCTGAGCACCCCACCTTCTGAAGCAAGAGGGATGTGCCAGCAAAGACAGGACCGTCTCGCTAGTGACTGTGAGTCCTCTGAGCATGTCCCTGAGGTTTCGCAACAGCCGTACCCAAACAAGGAGGTCATTTAATGCACACTTAAACCACCTCTGAAATATTCCATGGAAAGGCAGCAGTGCGTGCGTGCGTGCGAGAGAGAGAGAGCGAGAGCGAGCGAGAGAGAGACCACTCGCCCAGCCTGGAGAACCAAAGCTAAAGGCCACTGAAATCAAACCACAACATCACAAAACAGCAATGTGTTACTCGCCAGTGACTCTTACGGGACACCACTTTAAACCCAGTCAGCCTGCTTTACGCTTCCGCGCGTTCCACCTCCATCCCGTCCATCCTGACTTGCAGTG